TTGTGAAAATGACCACATTTTGCAACAATGGCCGATATGGCCAAAAGTGGCTAAAGATGCAAACTCAATAAGGACGTGCCTTAAAGTAATATGACTCCTAGTTGTGGACTCAAAATCCTAAGACATGGGTAATTGAACTACTTTTGCAAAAATAACCCCATTTTGCAAGAATGGTCGATGTGGCCAAAAGTGGCTAGACATGCAAGATTTGGCTAAGACCCCGCAAAGCCAAGAACCTAAGACTCACTAGGAATATTGGACCCTATGTGGTTTGCCTACGTATATCACCCCGAAAGACGAGAATCAAGTTCGCGTAGTTCGGGAAGATTGGACATGGGAGAAATTCTTTAAAAAAATGCAACTAATTTGGAAAACCATATTTTTTTCTTTTTGAGAAATGATGGAAAATGTAAAATCTTTTTGGATTTTTTTTTCTCCTTTTTTTTTGAATTTTTGGAAAATTAAGGAAAACTGTAAAATCTTTTTGGATTTTCTTTTCCTCTTTTTTTTTTTGAATTTTTGGAAAATAATGGAAAAGTGTAAAATCTTTTTGGATTTTCTTTTTTATTTTTTTGTATCTTTTTTTTTTTGTTTTGAAAAGGTAGTGAAAGAAAAATATAATCGGGCCTACTTGCTTCGTCTTTCACCCTTCTTTCCTAAGCATCGGTCCACCAAATGACCTTTTTGCCCTCAAAGATGCAACATGTATCACATTGGGATGATTGAATGCCTTTTTGGGCCACGGGCCCATTTTCGACAAAAATTGGATATGCTTCCTACAAAGGGACACGGTGCCTAGGACCGAGCCCTGCTAGGTCTAAATGACATGATGCAAATAAAAATAACCTAAAGGTTGACCTATGTTTGGGGTTCACTAGACAAGGCAATTCAGGGGAGCGTATGGTCGATGGTGGCTGCTCAAGCTTTCCACCCACTTCATACGTCCGACGACCCCCCTCCTAAATTAAGGGTGACTCAACAAAGAGTTCGTGCATGCGACACATACTCCGAAACTTGTTGCAGAAAGAAGACCCATGGTTATACAAATGATGACAGTTTATAAAGCAGTAACACATTAAGAAAAGCGATAAACAAATAACCAACAAAACAAGAAATAAAACAAACAAACTAAACAAACAAAGCAAATAAAGAAAACAAACACCTCAACTGAATACCTAAAAGCCAATAAGATCAAGTATCAGCTCGAACCTGCAAATCCCCAGCAGAGTCGCCAGAGATGTCACACCCCTTTTTAACCACACTAACTAACCCTCTTAAAAATAATAAAAGGATTTTGCAAAGCTCAAAAGGGTTTTCAATTAGAAAGTGACAAAAATTTGTATTCAAAAGGATAATTTCAGAGTCGCCACCTGACATTTGTTTTGGTGTGCCAGGTCACCATTTTAAAAATGATTTTCCTTTAAAAACACTTTAGACTAAAAAACTAAATCTGCACAAGAGATTCGGGTAAGGGGGTTCATTTGACTCGGGGAAAAGGTGTTAGGCACTCCCCAAGTCCCATGAAGGTCACAGTTGCGTACTCGATCTAGTTGGCTTTTAAAATATTCGGGTTGAGGTAAAATCACGAAAAAGCAACATAAACACACATGAGGCTCGAGGTCGTCCCCACCTAATAAAAGGAAAAATAATAAAATAAAAATACTACGAGTTCTACTATCGATCTTCAAGTACAAATACTTCAGGGCATACCCCGGAACAAAATATATACAAGTCCTTCGGGGCATTCCCCGGATAAATTTAACTAAGAGAACAACCTCTCGCCTCAAGACCAACAAAATACTAAGGCTTGCCTACCCAAATATCGTCGGCCTAGGCATGCCACTAGCGATTAAAATAACTAAAACACAACGCAATATAATGAAACCATGTTAAGCCCAAATTTGCCAATGCCATTTATCCACCGCAACCACTTGCCTTAATTTGCACTTAAATCTTAATCTAACTAAAATTCCTTTAGTTATACTTCATTCAACAAATAGTTCATGCAAATCTAAACTGTTGATATGAGCAAACTAACCAAGTAACATATGACTAATATGGATCAATCAAATATTTCCACAAACAACACATAAGTTTAAAAGAAAATAATTTGAACAGAGGGTTAAAGAACCGGACCTCAATATAGATGGAAATTAATTGTTTCACTGTTTTGAACTTGAAAATGCAATGAACCGCGGATGAAAACTCGAATCGGCACCGGAAACTCAACCAAACCAGGATTCAAATCCAAACGAACTCAAGCAATGATCTTTCGATAATAAAATGACTCTAACTCTGTTTATGTTTTGATTTATTTTTCGAAATGGCATTGAACCAAAAGAAAGTAAAATATTTTTTGATATTTTTATTATTGCAATGATCAGATTAGTCCATTCCCCCTCCTTTTCGTTACTGTTTGGTCCCCTTTCAAGCCCCAAACGTTTGCTTCTAGGGCTGCTACTGATGGTGGAGATTTGGTGGCCGTTTTCAGGTGATCTGGCGGATGTTCCCGCTGTTAGGTCTTGGAGAAGAAAGGAACAGTCGTTGTTTCTCTTTCTCTTCTGAAAATAGGGGTAGGCGGCAGAGATTTTGGTGGTGTTGAAGAGGTCAGGGGTTGTTTGGAGTGAAGTTCAGGTGGTCTTTGGTCGTTTGAGGGCTGGTTCACGGTTGAAGGGATTCAGCTTGGAGAGCAGGGTGGCGGCGGCTGGTTGTTGTGTATCCCTAGGGTTTTTGGTGTTCTAAGGTTGAAGAAGGCTGCTCCTGATAGCGCACCGCCGCTGCTAATTTCTGGCAGTTGTTGGTGGTTTGGGAGATGAATGAGGCCGGCTGGTGGTTGGACAGTGGTGCGCTGGTGTGTGGTGAGGTGAGGGACTGGTGCAGCCGGTGTCTGCTGGTGTAGCTGGTCATAGCTGGTAGGAAACAGAGGAAGTCGACGCCAGTGGGTTGAAGAAGAAGAAGCTGGTGGGGGTCGCTGGTTTTCCGGCGAAGTGGTGGAAACGGGCGGCTATGGGTGGTCTTTTCCTAGTGTTCCGGCTAGGGTTTGTCTTGTAGTCTCCATGAAGATCGTGAAAGGGCCTTATTTTTAGTTCAAAAATAAGAGACAAATCTGATGGATTTGGTCATGGATAAGGTATTTGGGCTTCAAATTTGGGCTAAAATTGTATTTAAAAATGGCCCTTTAGCTTTACAAGACTAAAAATGTTGATTTCTTTCCTAAAACAATATACTATAAAATTGTAAAATCATTACTAATTAATTAAAACAAACTATATTATGACATGAAGCTATTTTTGGTATTTTTTTAAAAATTATAATAAAAATGGGTAAAACATAATATTCTTCTAAAAATACCTAATACCTTAATTAAATAGAGAAGAATGAAACTATTTTTTTGTATTTTTTAATTTTGTGGTAAAAATAATGTAAAAGAGCCAAAAATTAGTTGAAGTAACTATATTAGACCTAAACTAAGTATTTAAATACTAAAATATGTAAAATCTTGGGAGGGTCAAAAATCACATGTCTACACTATCAAATTGTCAAAGAAAATATGCTACTATCTTTTGTCCTCTACCCTCTTAAGTTAATTAATATACAGTTGTGTCATTCTCATTTAAATTAAATTTAAACGACATATTGATAAATTATTCTCATCTAAACAACATTTAAAAAACAAAAGAAGCTATTTCTAAATTCAAATTCTTCACGATCGCACAAAGCGCGAGCAAATTTACTAGTTAATAATACTTGTTGTCGTTATTATTTTTGTTGAAAAGAGGATATATGCTGACATTTAGTTCTTTTGTTGATGTTTTGACTTATTATAAATAAAGCTTGCATAATTCTTGAAAGAGGAAGTAGAACATGGAGGAGGATTCACCCACTTGTCTTGCTACCTCAACCTACTTTAACCCCTTTTCTTTATTGATATGTACTTTTGGTTTTTTTATCTAATGTTTAATTTCTGTATTAGAGTTTCGACCAATTCAAATTCGAATAGCATAAAGCTGATATAATGATCAATCATACCTTTTGGCTTCTGAGTTAGTGTGACTATTAAAATTAGAGATAATTCGTCACTACTATATACTATCATATTGTAAAAGAGACAGTCTTTATCCTCTACATATTTTATGACTACCCTTCACAGAATCGGTAGATAGTAGAAACTTCTTTATTATAACACAAACAACTTTTATAAAAAAAAATCCATGCACAAAAAGGCCTCGGAAATGCATGAGATGTATCCCTATGAAACGATTTAAAAATAAAGTTTCCTGCTTTACTACAATAATAGTCTTATTTCATTTTTATTTAGTTGGTCGTGTCTTAGAGTGTTAAAACATTTTTCTTATTTTTTCTGAATATACCGTTAATTTTAAATCCCTCGGGCACTTCTCTAAAGTTAGACACTAATCCCTTTAATACATAAAGCATTGGTAGCACATCGACTACTCACAATTACCAAATGATACCAATTCTTACTACCATTCATTTCATAATATAATTAATTAAAAACATGATTTTCTTGTTAAGAAACCCTTAATCCGGTTCCCAATAATGAAATTTCTATCCTTTTTAGTTTGAATTATGAACAATACTCAATTTCTTTTTCTTTTTTTGAACAGATTTTTCTGTTGCATGTGGACATGAAGAAAAACAAGAATCATGGATGGCTTTAGATCAATAATAAATCAATTGACAAAATGAACATAAATTTTTCAGACACTCCCAACATACACACAAACACAAAAATAGCTTAACTAGCAAAATTATAGTGGGCCACAGAGTTTTAAACTTTATGTAATATACAAGAAATAATAGGGGGAAAATTACGTAAAAGAAGTTCGTTGTTGTTCGAGAAGTAGATTAGAGGGACCCCAATATCCATCTCATCACCTAACTAAAGAAAAACGACAGAGCAGCTAATTAAATTAAAGGGCATTTTCACCTATATATACATTACATTGTCATCTCTTGAATGCAACAAGCCTAAAATATATCACAACTGAAAGAAAACCACTTCTCTATTACTTAGTGAAAAGAGACAAAAAAATGGAATCTTGGGTTCGTATTTTTATCTTGTTTGCCTGCCTCTTTCCAGCCTTTGTAGAATGCCGGATTCGACGTTACAACTTCAATGTAAGTCTTTAATAGTATTTCAATATGTCTTTAGTTAAAAAGTCTTTTTAATAGGAGTAGTAAAGAAGGATTTAACTTATATATTCTAATAGTGTAACTAATTTTTACATATAATTCATGAAATTAATCGTTGTAGTCAGTAGCGGAACCAAGATTTTTACTAAGGGGTGTCAAAATTTAAAGACATTAATACACAAAAAAAATTAAGGGGATTCAACACACAGTATATCTATGCATTAAAAAAGTTACATAGCTAAACAACATAATTTTTCGATGAAGGGATATCAATTGACAACCCTTGAATTGTAGCTATGTGGCTGATCCGCAACTGGTTGTAGTTGTCGATTGCTTAATTTTTTCTAGGTAACAAATTCCACATGTTATGTGCAGTACTCATGACTCATAGTTGTATATTTTAATTTAGGTTATGTGACAGTGTAAAACTTAAGTTACCATTTTGTAGAAGTTAAAGTCGAAAGCAATGAATTATTTTCAAGTGATAGCGTAGTGATCTTCAACAAATTAATCACTTTTAATTTGCCAAAACAGTGGTGCCTTTCTCTTATTAATTATTTTGCATTTTCATTGTAAAAAGAATGACAACATTATATTCTTCAGAAGTTTTGAGCAGTTCCATCCAGGCATCCACTGGTAATGCCACAAAATATATGTTGATTTGGAATTGTTGCCAATTACTAGTAGATTTCTTGAAGTACAAGCTGGCATCATAAATTAGTTAGAGTAAATTCCAATTTGCAAAAGGTGGTAGCTCTAGAAATTAAAACAAATTAGTTGACGCCAAACACTTCCAAAAAAATCATTACTATGAACCATAGGAAGGTGAACATAAGTTGTCAAACCATACATCATAAGTACAACATGGACGTTCCCATAAAAAAACACAAAATTAATTCCCTAGTAACGTACAACGGTGCACAATTTTACTACTTCATTTGGTTAGCTATCTGCACTTTCAAATCAGGAATTTCCTCAATGGTGTTCAAACTTAAAGAAATGAATAAAATTCTCCGACAAAGATTGTTTAATATATGTTATATACCTCTAAAACCTAATATTTTACTTATATACGCCGTGTAATTTTCTGAAGAAGAACGGTCAGTTGACCACCCTTTAGGATATGCAGCTTCGCCCCTGCCTATTGGTGATGGTTCGATTTCCTACCGTGTAATCCCCTCCCCTATTTCCCTTTAAAATAAAATTTAACGTAAGATGGTTGCTTTTGCAGGTAATGGTGAAGAATACGACTCGCCTGTGCTCAACCAAGCCCATTGTCACTGTTAATGGCAAATTCCCAGGACCCACAGTCTATGCTAGGGAAGATGATACTGTGCTTATCAGAGTTGTTAACCATGTCAAATATAATGTCTCTATCCATTGGTAAGTCAACTCAAATTCAATTGCACTTAATGTTTTACACAATCAGTATAGCTTAAGCATGTTATTTACTTTTTTATTCGATTACTTGAGTGACATAGGACCGATTGACCATAAAAAAAGATTACTTTTTATCAAAAAAAATTTACTTTTTTCGAAATTAATGTTTGACTATGAAATTTTTAATTTTCACTTGAGGGTGAATTTCAGAATTTTTCGAAAATTTGAAAAACTCCAAAAAAGCTATTATTCAAAATTTTCACTTCAGATCACTCACAAAAATTCAAAAACAACCTAAAATTATATTCATGTCCAAATACAACTCTAATTTTCAAATACCATTTTTACTTGAATTTTTTTTCTTCACTTTTTTCCCGAAATTTTACAATTCTTATGTCTAAACGCCCACATAATTGTGTGAACATTTTATACATAGCTAATGCATAGAATAGAACGGGAGCCTTGGAGCAACCGTAAAATTGTTTCCGTATGACCTATAGGTCACGAGTTAGAGCCGTGGAAGAAGCTATTAATGCTTGTATTAGGGTAGGTTGTCTACGTCACACCCGCCCTTCCCGGACCCTACGTGAATGCCGAATACATTATACACTAGGCTAATGCATAGAACATAAACTTCCTTACAAAATCAAGATTTCCATTTCCATCACTTTGTATATAATTCACTTGGTTCTATTTGCTTTACACAATCTTTTTCATTTGGTGTGTAATAGGCATGGTGTCAGACAACTTAGAACTAGGGCTGTATTTTGTCCCGGGCCCGGGCCTTAGTGGGCCTAACGGGCCGGGCCTCGCGGTCCCGGGCTTCGTGGTCCCGGGCTCTGGCGGTCCCGGGCCTGGCGGTCCCGGTCTTCGTGGGCCTAATGGGTNACAGGTTGGGCAGATGGACCAGCATATATCACACAATGTCCAATTCAGCCAGGACAAAGTTATTTGTACAATTTCACCATTACAGGTCAAAGGGGTACACTGTTTTGGCATGCTCATATTCTGTGGCTAAGGTCCACAGTACATGGCGCCATTGTTATTTTGCCTAAGCTTGGTGTGCCATATCCATTTCCAAAACCTGACCATGAAGCTGTAGTTGTTCTAGGTGAACATAAATTACTTCACTTTTTTGCTTAGGGAAAAAAAATATTTACTTAATTTCAAGGGATTAATATTAAAGTTTGATCAATTAATGCAGCTGAATGGTGGAAATCTGATACTGAAGCTGTGATTAATCAAGCAATTAAGTCAGGTTTAGCCCCTAATGTTTCTGATGCTCACACAATCAATGGTCATCCTGGACCCCTTTCGAACTGTCCATCCCAAGGTAATTATACTTTTAGCTAATTGGCTATATATCAAAATTTGTGTGTAATTATGTGCACTTATATGGTATAATTATTTTGCTATCAGGTTGAGTTATCTAAAATAACACATAACTATTCATAACAAATTTGATATGGTAACACGAAAAAATTTAAATTATATGCACTGACAATATAAATTTTGTTATACACTATCAATGTATTTTAACTTGTTGCATGCAACAAATGATCTGCCTTATTCTCCAAGTTTTACTAATTTCACTTGTTAAGCACTGTAGTGATTTATGATGTGACCTGATTGTATAAATATTTGCACTGTTAATATGTAGAAGTTAAAATCACTTAAAAATAGTATAAAATCTGCAAGTTTAAGTACATTGATAGTTTAAATAAATTGATGGCATCTACTATCAGTGTATTTTAACATGTTGCAACAAATTATCTTTCTTATTCACCTGGTTACTATTTCAGTACCTATTAAGCACTATATTGAATTTCAAGGTGACTTGATAGTATAAATATTTGCACTATCAATTTGTAGAAGTTAAACACACTTATAGTGTAAAATACCTCTATTAATTGTATATGAGTTAAATCCTTCAAATTAACTCATGGGAAAAATGAAATTTTGATTTTTGAATTATATGATATACAGGTGGATACACATTGAGTGTTGATCCTGGAAAATCCTACATGTTAAGAGTCATCAATGCTGCACTCAATGAAGAACTCTTTTTCAAGATTGCTGGCCACAAAATGACTGTAGTAGAAGTAGATGCTACCTACATAAAACCTTTCAAAACAGACACAATTGTGATTGCCCCTGGCCAAACCACAAATGTAATTGTCACAGCTAATCAAGGTTCAGGAAAATACATGGTTGTTGCTTCTCCATTCATGGATGCACCTATTGCAGTCGATAACGCGACTGCAACAGCCACATTACATTATTCGGGCACGTTGGCTAGTTCAGTCACTACCCTAACAAACACTCCGCCCAAAAACGCGACCCCTGTGGCTAACAATTTTGTAGACTCTCTTCAAAGCCTCAACTCGAAAAAATACCCTGCTAAAGTTCCAAAAAATGTGGATCATTCGTTGTTTTTCACAGTAGGGTTAGGAATTAATCCATGTCCAAGTTGCAAACAAGGTAATGGAAGCAGAGTTGTTGCTAGCATAAACAATGTCACATTTGTTATGCCAACTACAGCACTTCTACAAGCACATTTCTTTGGTATCAAAGGAGTTTACACAACAGATTTTCCTCAAAATCCTCCAATTAAATTCAACTATACTGGAAAACCACCAGTAAACTTGGCTACGACGAGCGGGACGAAGGTTTACAGGTTGCCATATAATGCAACAGTTCAATTAGTTTTGCAGGATACTGGAATTATAGCGCCTGAAAACCATCCTATCCATTTGCATGGATTTAATTTCTTTGCAGTAGGTAAAGGGCTAGGAAATTTTAATCCAAAAACAGATCCAAAGAATTTTAATCTTGTTGATCCTGTTGAGAGGAATACAATTGGAGTGCCTGCAGGAGGATGGGTAGCTATAAGATTCCGCGCTGACAATCCAGGTATACTATAGAAAAAATGAAATAACAACATGTTATTTTTTTTTGTCATATCGGTGTATATAACTTAGAAGGGGAGCCTTGGTGTAAAAGTTAATGCTATGTGACCAAGAGGTCACGGATTCGACCTGTGGAAATAGCCTCTTGCAGAAATGCAGGGTAAGGCTGCATACAATAGACCCTTGTGGTTCGGCCCTTCCTCGAACCCTACACATAGCAAAAGCTTAGTGTACCAGGCTGCCCTATCAGTGTATATTAGTTAAATTCATGACGCCTATATAATGATTGTTAAATGTTTTATGAAATTGCAGGAGTTTGGTTTATGCATTGCCATTTAGAGGTGCATACAACATGGGGATTGAAGATGGCATTCCTTGTAGATAATGGAAAGGGTCCAAATGAGTCACTTTTGCCACCTCCAAAAGATCTTCCAAAATGCTAAAATCTAGGATATTGCCATTCAAAAGGAGTTGGCTCCTCCTCTTCACAACTTAATGCGAGCAAAATGTAGGAACACGGCAAATTAAAGGTTGACAACGAAGAAAAGAGAGTCAATAATGCATTATATTGTATTCATTTCTTGAGTAAAAAAGGAATTTTTTTTGCTCAAGCTTCTCAATAATTATATGAAGTTTGTATGTATACATTTTTTTTGCGGTTTTGAATAAATGTTTGATAAATGAGCGTTTCTTCTATCTCTTTCTCTTACTCCCAATGCCCTCCTGCAATTAGGTTTGTGTATGATGTTAATACAGCAATGATTAACATCATCTACATCTTTTACAGTCACTGTTGAAATTGGCTCCAAAAAATGTCCAAAATTCGTAGTTTTTGACTGTTTGTATCTTCACAATTGGAATTGAATACCTTACTAACTTGTGGGTTATTGAATGGTGATTTTTTAAGAAACCAAATTATGTCACTATGTGGCATGTATACCCTTTTTTTTAAAAAACTAAATTACACGGCCTTTTATTGAACTTCCAGAAAAACTAGTACTTTTATTGCACACTGCGATCTCCAGAGTTCCCGGACCACAAATTGAGGAATGATTTTTGCTACAAAGCTTGCAATTGTGTTCTTTGCTACCATTTCTTCAATAGTCGAATCAGAAGTGTTCCTCTCCATTGAATTCCAAAAATTCGATCGCACCTTTTGTGCAAAATCTCATGAGCATATGTACTAAATTGCACCGCTCGTTATGAAAATTTTGTTGTTGTATATTGCGCAACAAGTTAAATAATTGTAGACAAGATAGTCTATATTGTCCGCCATCTGTTCCGCTTTGGAATTTCTTTTCTGAATAACCATTGAATCAAAAGGTGTTTTTGCTGGAATAAGAAGAAAGCGATATTTGTCATATTCACCAATTACGATTTATAAATATTATACCTTAATTGCGATTTTTTAAGTCACATTCCGAATTGCCATTTATACCACTAATTCGATTTATAAGACGATTATAAGTTCCCTCCAACTAATTGAATTTATAAATTGGTAAATGCTCTCATCACCTCCGGACAACGCAACTTATAAACCACTTCCTTTTTAGATCCACATCACACCAATAACCCTACCCTGCCTTCCATATTTTATTTGTTTTTCTAAGAAACTCGTGTGTTAAGGAGTTATTGAATAATTAAAGCGATCAACTCATAATTGGTAAAGTTATAAGTTCAATAAGTGGCATTGCGATTGATGGTTTGTATTACTGACGGGTTTATTCTTTAATTATATTATGGGTGATTCTTAAGTCGTACAAATACATTTTGTATATTTTTGGCATTCCCTTAAATATTCTCAAAAGCTACTGAATTCCTGTCCCTTTAAAGAGTTCATTACAGGCAAAGCAGAGCAATCCTTTAAGCTTTGCTAGTCTCTTCTGCTAGAATTATAATGCATAGATTATTCATGTGGTAAATAGTTGTGCAGAGATTGTTATCCGATGAATAGTAATTCAAGGATTTGTTATGTAGAATTGCTTAATTAATGATAATTTAATTAATATATTCTTATTCCATATTCTGTACTATGTATAAATAATATAAAAATTCCCGTATAAGTTATATCAGAATTAGTAATAAAATATTTGGTTTTCGATATTAAACCTACATAACTTATTATGTGAATAAGTTTAATACTGGAAATGGAGATTATATTAGTTATGCATGCTCTTATACCGGAAGTAATACGAATTTCTATATTGAGATTAAATTTTATTATACTTCAAAACAAACGAACCTTAATGTTTGTTTGAAAATTGGATTCTATAGTGTAACAAAACCAAATTTCAGATGTCCTATCTGCCGGCCACTTACTACTATAAATTAAAAGTCATTAACTTTTTCCATTCTGTTGTGAGCAATGGACTGTCATCCAAAAAGCATGATCTTCCTTAATTTAATCAAGTATAACATGAAAAAGAGAAGAACTAACACAAAATGTAGTAAGAAGCAATCGGAAGAAATACATAGATAGAATTACAAATACAGGATTTGAAGACCGAACCCGTAATAGATGGGCTAGCTCCGCCCCTGAGTCAGTATTATGTAATATGCTAACACTAGTTTTTACCCTATATATAGACGTAATAGAACCGAAATCCTATTATGTTATTCCATACTAATTAATGTATGCAGAAAGTATGAGTTCTCTAATTTTCTTTTCAAAGTATATGAGATCGTGGAGGAACGACACGGCCAATTGAGGCCAGATAATTAGAAAAGGAAAAATACATAACTTATTTACATCACTTTGTTATTAATTACATGATCACTTTCTTATGACATAAAAAATATCAAGAAATAAAGGAAGAAATTTAGCAGCAAGTACTACTGGGAACAGAATAGGATCTCTGCAGTGAAGAGGCTGAAGAATTCAAGAACTCAATGCAATCCTCTATAGCTTCAGCTCTTTGAGAATCAAGTCTTTCTGCATAAGAACGTGACCTGCCCAAGCTTGAAGACGAGACTTTACGTGACGACCTTTTTCTGTAATAATTGGAATTCGAAAAGAAACTTAGAGCACTGGCCAACTTTGCTCCTATATTCTTCAATAAACTCACTGTAGAAAATCCTGATGAAGAAGTAGAAGAGGAATTTCTTTTACTCATTTTTGTGTGTTTGGTAGGGAAGAGTATGGTGATGGAATGAACAAAAGAGAGGCAGATGGGAAAATGATATGAGGTATTTATTTAAAATTGACGAGATAATAGTAGTAAAGAAGAAGGATCAAACCTACTTAACCTACTATTGTAATAAGACAAGTAAAAACTTAATTTACTGATTTTCCAATATTCCATGGTTCAACCAAACCAATTGACTGTGGACCGAACAGGTGTTTAACTCACGTATTAGCAATGTGTACATTACAATTTATAATATATTACATGGTAGTTATGCGAAGATTACAATTTATAATAAGTTATTTATACAATGATCAAAATATTGAAGGAATTGTTATGTGATGTTTATTAATGAATGCTTGAGTTATTATGCTCGTATTAATAATGACGAGATTCTTACATGTGAAATATCTTCTTTATGAGCATTTTTTTAAATATCATTATATGCTTAGTTGTTTTGCTTCATATATTGACATTGTGTATGATACAATTTACTTTTGAAAAATCATTATATGCTTTACTACAATTTTCTTTAAGGCGCTATGTTTTATATTTACTGCAAATTCTTGCAATTGTATTATAACTTCAACTTAGTTTCTGAACGTTTTAGTTTTCTCCCAGAAATAAGTAGATTGATATACTATGCCTTCTATAAGTTGCTTCTCTTTTTTTCCTCTCGAAAACAACTTAAGTATATTATATTAATGCATAAAAGGAATCAACTATCTAAAAGAGGAAATAACTTCATGCATAAACTAATTCGGGAAAATTGTTTCTAAAAAACACACTAATTAAAATAAATAGAAGGAAGAAAACAATTAGTAGCTAAACGTTACATTAGAATTGGTTAAGAGGACATTATCGCTTTAGATATATTCAAGATTGTTGAAACGTGCATGGAGGGCAATCATAAGGTTGTATAGGACACGAACCTACTTTCCATATGTATCATTTTCACATCATAAATACATGCACTAAATAATTACATTTCTTATCGAAATTATGATTCTATATTTTAGTCTTGTATAATTTAGGGAGAATGACACAAATAGGATATTTTTGTGCAACTATTAATTTTTAAATCCCGATAACAAATATTTTGAAAAAAAATAGTCCAACGCTAGATTTTAATGCACGCTAGCCAGAAATTCAGCAAGTTATGGTGATTGTTAGAATTTATAGTAAAATTTTAATGATCACCAGAATTTTCAGCCATAATGCTGAAATAATCTGGGGATCATAAGTATTTTGCACAAATCTTGACGGATCACTAGAATTTTTCAGCATTGGAGACTAAACTTCCGACGCTTCAAAATTCTGGTTATTGTTAGAACCGCTTCCAAATTCTGACAAGTATGCTTTAAAATTTTGGCCCTAGGCTATTTTCTCAAGACAATGAAGTTAAAATTTTAATGATAGTCCTAAATATTGTCAGAATTTATGGTAAAATTTTGACGATCACTAGAATTTTCAGCCATAATGCTGAAATAATCTAGGGATCATCACAATTTTGCTACAAATACTAACAGCTTGTTGAGTTTTTGTTTAAGATGAAATAGTCTTAAAATTAGAGTGAATGGGAAATGGGATTTGGATTCGGATTTGGTCAAATACTCGATCGATTGATTAATTTTTTGGACCAAATTTATTTGTTAATAGTGAATATTAACGTGATATAATCCGTATTTGTAACGGATGTTTTCCAATCCGTGTATTGTGTTGCAACACTAAGCAACAATGCAGCCTAGTGCACCTCCCACAATGGTGCAAGTGCTCCTCCCACCAAGCAAGTGTATATACCACCATGTAAGTGCTTTCTCCATGATCTAGTGCTTGTTGCACCATAGAAGGGGCGGATTTCTCTCAAATAACTTCTATAAATAGAGCATAAGTTGGAGAGAAAGAAGAACACATCGGAAAAAACACTTGAAACACTCTGTATACACTTAATATACACTCTGTATACACTTAATATACACTCTGTATACACT